CTATGGCTGCGCTCTCTCTCTCTCCTTAAAGCAGTGTCTGAAAGTAGTGCTGCTGTACTCTCACCAAGCAGCAAAAATGTGGCGAATGAATTCTGAAGGAGGGTTTTGCCCCAGCCAGTCACATTTGAGGAGCGGTTACTTGTAGGCCTACAGTGTTGGGGGTTAAACCACCAGTACTTGGGCGACGCCTTAGCGTTAACGCTACGAGAATTTCGCTACCGGCGGGCCGTCGATAAATCGTATCGACAGCCCGCGCCGCTTCAAAAAAGGTGCAGCTGGAGCGGCACGCAGTGCCCAAGTACTGGTGGTTTAAGGTAAAAAGAAAGATCCTACGCTGCCATTCTAAATGGGGGTTAAAAACCGTTAAACAGAAAAAGAAAAGAAAAAAAGCTACCAATATGCTAGGCAATTAGGGACTGTACACACAGGTCCCGGGTTCCCGGGTTACTCATCTGCTTCATAATAGTAAAAAAAATAAAAAAAAGGAAAACAAAACAACTGTTCGTACTTTGTTTGGTCCCAGGTTCCAATCCGGGCAAGAACAAAAACAGCAGACACTAGAAATACAGCAGTCCCGCACTCTCCAACAGCTCCTTCACTGCCATAGAAATTTTGGCCAATCCTTGCCCACAACATATCCAAAGATTCCAAACTCTGCTGAGCGCACTTCTTACTAACATATTGTAAAAAAAAAAACTGAAAAAAAAAAATGAAAAACATATAAAACAGCAAGCCAAAAGTGCATTTTCAGGCAATTTTGCCAAAAACAAATTCATCAGATTTTCAGGATTTTCACCACTCTTAACAGCACAAATTCTNAACAGCACAAATTCTAATACTCCAAATGACACCAAATTTGACACACAGCAAGCTTGTCCAAACACAAAAACAGGAAAAAAGCAAAAATCCAAAAAAACACAAAATTTGACTCCGAAACCCTAATTTCAGGATCATTCATGGTTACCCACGGCCGAAAAGTGGGGGTCCCCGTTAACCAATAGTGGAGACTCTGGATTAAACCCTAGCCCTGTTGCACAGTAAACACCTGGGCAGGTGAAATAGAAGCAGCATGCTGCATTGCTCTCATCTCCCCTCAGGCATGCTTCGTTGGCAGTTTGCATGCATTTCACTAATTATGAGGCTCAAGCATGAAAGAAGATAAAGCTAGAAAGTTTGGAGAAATGCGCGATGCAAAAAGCACAGAAAAAGAATTGGGGGAGAGAGAGGGGACAAGAACAGACACTGGCAGACATACAAGCGGGCAAAGCGAGAGGGGCGGGGGAGAGTGGGAAGAAGCCAGACAGACAAACAGGCAAAGCGAGAGGAAGGGGGAAAGCGGGGAGAAGCCAGCCGGACAACCAGGCAAAGCGACAGACAGAGGGAGACTATGTGTATGTTGTCCTGTTCGCTATACACAACTCCACAAAAAGAGCACAGTTATGCCAGACTGTTTCGTTCTACTTTCGCTAAATCATCATCGGAATGTTGAACCCCAACAGTCTGCATAGAATGCATTTGAATGATGGGGATAAAGGACTGAACTCATTCTTGGTATGTCTTGCGTATGGAGCGAGATATAGATCGGATCTTTGTTTGAGAAAAGGGGGGGAGGCGGGGGTAGGGGGTAGGGACACTGGCAGTTTTCTTTTGTTAAACGATGGTAGTCGCCTATGAGTCCAAACTTGAGCCTGTGTTTTCCTCAATAGGCATATCAGCTGAAATATGAGTCATAGTCAGGCCTTTTTTTTTTTTTTTTTTTTTTTTTTTTAGATAGGAACTGAAACTGCAATCTTTGCGCAGGTCTATAGCTTGTGGCATGCCCTTTTGAATGGAGGCTTAGGCTATTGTTGCACATATAGTGAGTCAACAATACAGGACCATTTCCTCCATCGGCCTAAGTTTCGAAGGACTAGTGCATAACTTTTGTTATTTGTTAACTGTGATCTTGAGCTTGAGTCCGATTTCCGTCAGACATCAGCTTTAGAACACCAGTACCTTTCCCCGCTTGAAAGAAGAAAAAAAAACGTGGCGGTTAACACGGAAGTTCAGCGGGGATTCTAAATGGCTGGCCGGCGCTGGCCAGACACATCCTTGTCGGTTCATTTTTCTCTGGTGCGCAGGGCAATTTTTTTTAGGCCCACGGCCGATACATGGGAAATGCACTGGCGGTTTAATCTGCAGTTCTTGCGATAGTCTTTTGCGCGTATAAGAGTGCTGCTGGGCCCAAAATTCGATGGCATCACCGAAAGTCTTAAAAACTGAATCCTTGGATGGGGCCATTTCCCCTTTTGGCCTTAGATTGGCCCTGCAAGTAAGTTCAATTCCGCTGCAAGTCCTTAGGCTTGGTCACTGTCGACAGGACGTGCCCAAAAATCGTTATCACTCGTGCCAATGATACGGCCGGGCGTCTTATTGCGCTCCAGACTCGCCAATGACTTCCGCTAATCGTTTTTCCTGCTTCTCGATTCCCTGTCATGTCGTGCTTACGGGAAACCTAAATAGAGATTACGAATCTGCATATGTGATGGAGCAGTTTTGGATGCTCCCCACCAATCGATGGAGCCTCTCCCCAGGTGCTAGTGGTGTCTGCTCTTATCAGCACCATTAACACTGGTGGGGGCGTGTTAAAAAAAAAAAAAAAAAAGGTTTGGGTAGTATTTGGGCAGATTGGAGGTTGAATGACCAGCAACAAGTTGTGGAAGTCGTTCGACGTCAGTTGCAGGTGCCCCCCAGACTTTCCCGTTTGTGCGGCGTGTTGTGGGTAAAACCGTAAAAGGGATTTTTGAATTGGTCGACAGTGTCTCCTTCTCGAGGGTTCTTTTTCTCTCTCGTTTGTTCATTGCCCTTGTCTTCTTCTGCTTGACTTCTTTCTCCCTGTCTTATCCTCTTCCTCCGCCCTTGTTGCCTTCATCCCCCGTCCAGGTATTGGAGCTCCTTCCTTTACCAAAGTCACAGAGATAGCGACCACGGAAAATCATGGGCTTCTAGTGTCTTTTGGGTTGTTTATCTTTTGTTGATGTCACCTTCTCCTCTGCCTCCTTTTCCATGTCTCTTCCTCGTCGGCTTTCGTTTCTCCCATTCGCTCTCTGCCTCTATTCTTTCTCCTCTTCCAGTCAGGGGTTGGGTTGGGTTGCAGAGAAAACTGAGCCGTGCCTGCTGCTCAGCTCAGTTTTCTTAGCAACCCAACCCCTAACTGGCCTCTTCTACCAGTCCCTAGCAGTTTGCTCTGCTGGTGAGTATTGAGGACCCGATGACGTTCCTCTTTGCCCTGCTCTTCTCCTCCCTTCATTCCCCTCCTTCCCCCTCCCTCCTCCTCTCCCTCCTCTCCCTCACCTTGTCCACAACAACTAAATGAATACAAATGGGCATCACTACGAGAATAGACGAAATATAAGGTGCAGGTGTGCTGAAAGCAAATGCGTGGGTAATAGCTGGCTGGTCTACCAAGTGGACGGGGTTGGAGCGAAAGGAGGAAGACAATGGAAGAGAACAAAGATGTTCTGTGTCTGTGTGTTGTGGGACAAGATGTTCTGTGTGTTGTGGGGGGGGAGGGAGGGGGGGGCAAGGGGCATGGGGATGGGAGGGGGGAGGAGGGGGCTGGTGTCAGGGAGGTGGTGTTCAATCAAGGGAGGGGAGGAGAGAAGGATCAGCCTGAGAGGATGTGACTATACAAGGAAGGTTTCCTCTCAGTTCAGTATGCATGCGTTTTCTAGCGGAGATCAACAAGGTTCGCAGTTCTCACAGAATGCCCGGAGAATTCCGTTCCATTAACACATTTGCAGGGGTTTCCTTTTCCCCTGCAGACTGGACAGCACCAGTTCGGGTCGGGTGTGGGCTGAGGAAGCAGCACAACCGATTCTCCCAGTTGAGGACACTGCATCAAATGCCATGGTGTGCACAGATCTCACCGGCAATGTAGCAAGTCTGCGAAAAAAACTAGGAACACAACTCCACACAAGAATGCATGATCGTGCACACTGTTTCATCGGGGAAAAAAAAAAAAAAAAAAAAAAAAAAACTTTTACCGACTCTGACTCATCAGGAGACTGAACCTCGGCAGCCTGCGCGGGATCCATTTGACTGGTGGGCAAGGACTCATCACGCTGCCCAGAGTTAGATTAGATACACCCCACAATTGTAACATTTTGATGAGACGGCTGTTTCATTGTTGTGTTCCGAGCGAGGAGCAAGTTCCCACCACGTTTGTGTGCTTTTTTGTGAGAGGGACGAGGTCAACCACTCTTGTGTGTTATAAACTGTCACCACAACAACCCCTTTTTCCACCCAGATGAGCAAATTGAAGATTGAAACACCTTCCCCTCTATAGCAAACAACATGAAAGCACACTAAGATGCGCAGAGCCAAACTTGAAACAGCTTGATCTCTATAGCAAACAACGTGAAGCACTCCTAAAGCTGTTATATTGCCTTCTATTGTGTGTGTGTGTTGTCTATTATAGCCATAACAGCCCCTTTTCCACCTAGATGGAGAGAGAGAGAGAGAGAGAGAGAGAGAGAGAGAGAGAGAGAGAGAGAGAGAGAGAGAGA